TGCAGACTATCCGCCACTGCGAAGCCAATCCCGAGATATATCGTTTCGATACCAATCCGGGTTCTCCTTCTCTCTTTCTCTCTCCATCTTTCCGTCTACCTCCCTCGTGATGCCGCTCTCAAAAAAGGGAAAGGAAGAGAGAGAGAGAGAAAGACGAGAAGAAATCCCGAGGAGGTAGCGAGCTTCGTCTTCCAGATCCCTTCTTTCAACTTTTCGCCTGGAGGCACACCCCAAAACTTCCTCCGGTGATAAATGCTCGTGAAGAATCGCACCCGTGCGATAGCGGCAATTAGTGGGGCCTCGTTTGTCTCCTTGTCTGCCCTCGAGGTTGATGAGCCTGCGGTTCCGGCTTGACGCTTCGGATTCATTGCGGAACAATGAAACTGTCGAATTTCGATCCACGTGTTGCGAAATGACTAGCCGCGAGATAAAAAAAAATACCGAGACACGTCCATCCAAAGTTTTTCCAGTGCGATATATATTTTTCAATTTAATAAATTATATATATATATATATATCTCCATATTTTATTAATATAACTTTATATAATGTTTAATAATTTTGAAAAAAAAATGTATACCTATATATTTGTGAAAGCATCGAGACACACTAACCGAAATTAGTCCACGCAATAATAGTAATGGCTCGTGACATAAAGTACGCGATCGAGTTTCCAGAAAAGCGTATACAAATTGGTCGACGTCGTCTTGAAAATATCCCGAGAGCGTGCATTCGGTCCTACAGTATGCGCGATCGTGTGCCATATCCACATTAACCTTTCATAGTGTTCATGTAGCGCCGAAAAAGGATCGTAGTTTTAGGTTTCCTTGTCGGAAGACAAATAGCAGCAGTCGACAGGGAGCGCAGCCCACTTTGTCCCCGACAGCGTGGCGAATAAACGCCCGATCACTTTACGAGGTAGACGGGGTAAGAGTGGAGCGGATAGCGCGAAAGAGAAGGAGACAGGACGCGAGGGAGCAGGAAGGAGAAACCCGCCCCTTCTCAATTCGTACGTAGCCATCTACACCCCCGAGGCCAACAATCCATTCTAACCCCGCCAACACGATCCAACCCCCCGATCCAAAACGAGAGAGAGAGAAAGGGAGATAGTGGTATGAGGACTTTGGGATCTCGCTCCCTCTTGGCCCTCTCGACTAGGCAAAACCGCGGCGTTGATGTGAAAGCTGATAATACCGGGTTTCACCACTCCACCTGATTAATTTCCGTTTCTTCCGCGACGCGATTTATGGTTATTAGCGCATTTTGCTAGTTTCCCGCGCGTATTTCTCTATCTACAAGATAATCGTCGCGCGAGCGACGCGTGAAATCCAACCCCGAGAGTTGGAGTAAACAGGATCTGAATAGAGAAATTGCGGGACGATCCTCTCGAGAAGAATAAGCTTTCGTAAATACACCGGGGGGAGAAAAAAACTCAATCTCTTTTCTACATCGCTTACGTCGTAATATCCTTGCACTTGGTCAAAACACGGCTACGCTTACAGCGGTAAACAAGATTTTATACACGACGGCTGTGTGTTTGCCCCGAGAATTTAGAGTCGCGTGCGTATAAACGCGACACGCATGAGAAACCAGCGTAAGATAGTGGTACCCTCCACACACGAATAGTGATGACAGCGAGTCAGAACCGGAACCTCAAAGCGCAAGTCTGTCTCGGTGCCAACGTAAACTGTCCTAGAGGAATAATGAGGGGGGGTGAGAGGGAGGAGGGAGGGAAACAGCCGGAGAAAAGAGCCGTAGAGAGGCGAACGCGTTGCCGGGCAGACAAAGATAAATAAACGAAGGAAACGGTGTTCGCGTACAAAGGGAAGCAATATCCCTGTCTTTAACCCGGGTCTCGCTTGCTGGACGGAGAGCTAATAGCGGCGGTGGTAAACAAGCCGCTTCTGCCGCGGAAACATCGCGCAGACTTTCCTCTTAATCCACCTCCGTCTTTTTCTCTTCTTCTTCTTCTTCTTCTTCTTCTTCCTCTTCTTCTTCTGCCCTTCGTGGCATTTCCGCCACCATACTCTATCTTCCGTTTACTCCCATTCAAGTCTTCCACTCACCTCCGCCGAAGTTGGTCTTTCCCTTCATCCCACGACTACCACACACGGCCATTTCCGTTTTCCTACCGCCTTCTCGCGCCTCCATCCGTTTTCTCTCGCTCTCGCGGAGATGTGTCTAGTTCATAGCTTGTCGCCCTCGTCGGGAAGTTATCTCGATTCGTTCGAGTTTCAAACACGCACGCGCTCTTTTTTAAAGACAATGAACGCACGGATATGTATATATATATATATATATATATATATATATATATATATATGTGTGTGTTTTGCACGCATTGTCGCATTTATATTATCGCTCGTTATCTCTATATTTGCCTCTCGTTATCCGTTCCTGTCGGTGACGTTAATAAACGATAAATGAAGTGTCGTCGCTCGTACAAATATTCTGTCATTAATAACGAAGTTCCCTAGAAAAGAGCTCAATGTTTTATAATTTTACACGCCTAATTAGGTATGTATCGAAGCAAGCTTCCCGCGCGTGGAGGCGCACCGTGAAGCATAACAAGATGATATAAAGGCACAGTAAAACATGTCTTTGTAAAATTATGCACACTCATTAGCACGTAATAAATATGCTAACACGTTTTATACTATCTGACGCTGGTCATTTTTCTTCGTTCAACGCTTAATATATGCGGACTCATTATCGATGGTTGCTGCTTATAGCAACGCGGTGGAATAGACCCGAGAAGATTGCGAAATATATATATATATACGATTCTAACAATAAGACAAATACATTCAAGTTGAAAGACGCGTCTGAAATGAATAAATAATGACCGTAAGTGTTATCGATACGCGCGTTCTAATAAGCAATCGAGGCGCGGTGTAAAGAAAAACGAGTATATGAAAATGTAAATATAAAATTACGAAAATATATATATATATCTTTTGCAATTTCGCGAAATTTGCATAAGAAATTTATTTCGCCGTAAACGAATGACTCTTCTCGGCCAATTCCGATATCCTATCGAGATTCGAAAAATAGCTCTCGTATTTTAAAGAGTATCGAAGTTTTACGATCCCTTACGTGAAATCAAACGTGAGCGCGAGTCGGAGGAAAAGCAATCTCTCAAGAAAGTCTGAAAGTCTACGCCATGTCCGAGTATTCAGACATTATCGTGATTGAGCGTGCCAACGGTAGGGTTCGCCGGGTTGGAGGGCGAGAACTGAGTGATTTAGTGGGGTGGCTACTCGACGACTGACCGAGATAACCTGCCTGTCCACGGAACAACCCCATTTGTCCAATGTCTTCCGCTACAAAACTGCCCCGGTGCCCGCGTCCTTTTGAATAATGACGACGCTTTGTCAACTAACGGTCTGCCGATAATTCGTTGGACGCGTACGAAAGAGAGTTCAACTAAATAAATTTTACATTTTCGCGGAATATTATCGTATCAAAAATTTTTACCCGGCAAAAATATAGGACGCGTAAATTAATTATATATGTATAAAATTGTAAATTTGTCACAATTTGAATTACATGATAGAGAATAAAAAATAATATTGTTACAGTATAAATAATATTAAGAGAGATAATTGGTGTATAGATGTTGATTAATGCACAATATTTTTTTAATAAACTTATCGGGTTCCACACAACATACTATCGTACAAATGGAATTCTGAATCCATTTATATCGATCGACTTGACGCCACTGCGTCTTTACTCTATTCTATTCTTTACGCCACCTGCGGTATCAATGACACCGGCTCTTCCATAAGATTCCGGTTACATACCTCGTCTTGATGCTTCTTACGTCTAAGAAAAGAAGCGTTTCTCGCTCCTTTTTTTCTCTTGTTTTCTTTCCAGTAGATTTATCGCTATTGACTCATATACTTTTCAGCCACCATATATTTTATCTTACGCGGACAAATACGTTTATATTGTCATAATAGAGATATAGAAGAATATATATGTAATATATGAACTCGATATAAAAAAAAAAAACATAATTCTCTGCTTTATAGCTTGCCTTGGCGTTTATTCTCTTCTATTGTATTCTACATTATCTTTGTGTTTTAATATTAAAATTTTTACGTTATATTTCCTGTTGAAATCATTTTTACGTGAATCGAAACATAAAATTTCTACTTTCTCTTCCGATGTGAATAAAAAATATTACATCTTCATTAGATTGAAAATTCCTTCGCGACAAAATGTGGATTAGCGTTGTGTTGAAAATGAAAGAACGAAATCCAGACTCGAGACGAGTTCCCAGCTACAGGCGAAAGATCGAAAGAAAGAGATTGAAGAAGAAGGCACGAGGGCAGGAGAACGCGAAGAGAGGATTTTAAACATGGAAGGAGATGGAAAGAGCGAAAGCCGAGCGGACGAGCGAGGTGGGCCGTGAATTTATATCCCGGTCAGCCACTTGGAGCCATCAGCGGCTCGTTTGAAGTTCCACCTTGGCCAGGCAGACGTTATAAAGACAAACTATGCCTACGGCACCGTCATGCCCCACCACTTTATACCATAATTCTTCAAGCCGATCCACGAAACGGCCACTCGATCTCGGTCGACGAGAGGAGAGACGCACCGCACTCTCTCTCTCTCTCTCTTTCTCTTTCAAGATTCGTGCACGGGAATTCACGGCCTGTCTTTCTCCCTCTTATCGGATAGTCTTCAGCTCGCTTCCTTTACGGTTAGTGCCCGAGGGTAATAAAGATGGTTCTGCTTATGTACAACCGGCAACCGGAGGCGGAGCCAGGCTGCCCTCTGTGGGCAGGACTAACGCAAATGACTCTTCCATGCAAGATGGCGTAGGCATACAACCGCGCGGTGCGGTGGTGTGGTGTGGTGTGGTGCCCGCGAGGTGCTTTTATATTTAGCATGCGACGTGCAGAGTGAGAGAGAGAGAGAGAGAGAGAGAAAGAGAAAGAGAGACCGGCCGCTGAATGCACCGCGCCGCGTGCAACAGTCGACCGCCTGGCGTCAGCGTCGATCGCCTGCTTTACACGCTCGACCATGTCCGCGATCTTCACGATTGCTCCGATGTCCCTCTTCCGCTTATCGCCCACAAATTCCGACGAGTGACGACGCCCTGTGAGACGTTCGATTTACGGTGCACCCGCGGCAGTCTCTTCTCTTTTCGGAAGCGACAAGAGGTTCCAAGAGTGGACGGGATATCGGATACATATACAAGAAATAATATCTCTGTCACGATTCTGACGAATCTATGATGGTAGAGAGTGAATGGTACCGTGTTTATATCGATATCTCTTCTGCTTGGAGAGTTATCGGTATGATACATCTCTTTGGTATAATATAATACCGCGGAGATATATTTCCTAATAATGTGCCCGTTGTATTATTGTATTCATAGATTCATCACTCATTTCTCCTTTTATCGGAAATCCGCTATCATTTGATGATCCGATGAGATTGATACGATTCAATAATATATCGTTATACCTGGCAATGATGAAAATCCGTTAATGTGATTATCAGTTGCCGTGAATATTGATGATGTATCGGACACATTACTGCAAAGTACATCGTTGATATAAAGTTCGAATAAATAATTCTCATTACCCTTACGTCACTTTCGAGAAAGCCGAAGATAAATATCGAAATTATAAGATTTGGCCGACTTTTGCGACTTGCGATGATATACAGTTCGTCTGAATTATGGATAACAGCTGTAGCCCCCTTCCCTTCTTTCCCACGTAAAATCCGTATTACGAGCCAAATCTTCTCCGAGAGATGCAAATTACCGAAAAATCTTGGGATGGATTTATGACATTCATCTGCATGGTCGCCCGATAAACAAATGCAGATGAAGCGTAAGATTCGTCCAAATCTTATTATGCATTTTGCCAAATAACGCAATTTAATAAAATTTATTACACGCCATCAGAACCGTAATATATGTATATATGTAATTTGCATTCGTATAGACATAAATTATCTCTTGGCAAGACGATATATGTATTTTTTGTCTAATAGTTTTTAACAGATTTATTTATGCATCTTATATATTAATTTTTTGACATTTAAAAAATAAACATATACAAGAATTAAACGTGAACATAAATTCAAGTAGAAAAAAAATATTTAGAATGACTAGTTTTTCAGTCAGCATTATCTCATTATTTTATAGCACATCTCAATTCATTAATATCTGCATTAAATTGCTCCTAAATCAATGATACTTATAGCTAGATCTCATCTTTTAATCGACACAGACTGGTCACACTACCAACGAGATTTACGAGACGTTCGACCACAGAGATGAGTGTCTCTTAATGTCATTAGCGGTTAAAACCTTTTTTCCAGCATCTCTTTCTCAGCTCTTGAACGCTTTGATCGACACGGCCTTCTTTCCACCAACAAGGAATCACGACGAGTGATTCGAGACACGCTTGTCTCGCACTTGGAATGCAGGTTCCTGGCTTGTTCGTCTATCGGATAACAGTTAGAAAAACTCTACAGCCGGTTTCCTAGTGGCGTGGAATGCATCTTCAACAAAGCGATCGATGCCCGGATACAAATATTTAATATGCACCGTTTGCAATTTTTCCGAAAACATACAAGCAATTAGATTAGAATTTCCAATAATTAAAAAGTGATGCGCATCAACATCATTAAATAACATCCATAATCACCTAACCGATCCATCTATCTATTCTCGTAATATTCGCATAATATATTTTACGGAAGAAGATTCGTTAAAAAGCCCCATGAGCGAATTATATCCTAAGCAGGATATTTCCTTAGCATCCATCCCATCAGCGAAGTCAGATATTCCGATAGATAAAAGACTTGGCATCGAATCTCGAGTATGGCGGACAATCGCTCGATTGCCGGCCGTCGAAACGGAGATTTCGAGATATTCCATAAATGTAAGATGTTCGATGACTCGGGAATCGGCTCGGCGAATCGTTGGGTGGACGCGGAGAGCCAGAAGGAGAGAAGAAGATACGTCGGGCACGTAGCGCAGGAGCCATCAATCCTCTCGAGACGTAGACGAACAGCCGTGGGCCACGGCAAAGCGAACCGACATCAGTCCCCATTCTCCTCCTCCTCGTCGTCGTCGTCGTCGTCTTCTGCAATGCGAAAAGACGAAGAGCGCTCGGAAGCCGAGAACGCGTAGACGCGCCGATAGAAGCCACTACTTAGCAAGCAGGCATGTGTCATGTGTCTTAAACCAGGTCTGGTCTCTCTCCCCCACATCTACTCCGGACCTTTCGGAGTTCCCTCGAACTCCCCGCGACGATATCAAAGGACCGCGCCTCCTTTGGAATTCTCTAGTTGTTAACATTTAACAGTGATGCATCCCATGCAATTTTTGTCGCGCATACCCGTCGAGTTTTTTTCCGTCGCGGCGGACTCTCCTTCCCGATTCTCGCAATTTCTATAATGAAACGATTTGAATTAAAAAGAACCCGTGTGGAAAATTAAAGTCATCAATGTCCTGTGACTATCTAGTTATTTATAATTTTAACTCATCACTGTCTAACTTTATTGGCTAATAGTCTGGTAAAAATGTAACGCTATTATATGTGAGATGTTAATATTAGTAGCTTACAGATAGATAACTAAAATAAGCTCATGGCTGGCTAGTAAAAATGATAAAAAAAATTTTTTTAATTTTATTTTTTTTAATTTTAGGTGTACTGTAGCATTTTTATTTTATTGGCATCTCCGATTATTACTGGTAAATTATCTCTATAGGTATTAGTTATTAAATATTTTTTATTTTTATCTACCTTTTTCTCTGAAAAAATCCTTGATACCGAGGAGATTCGATCCTGAGACCTTTGCATTACCATGGACGTTCCTCACTAAGCCAAGCTCGAATTGATATATTCGATAAAAAAAAAAAATATATATATATATGTTTTGTTACAGCTTTTTGTTAGCCAAATATAAGATGACAACGAGATAAATTTTATATAATTTAACGCCATCTATAACTCAAAATAATTAGACAATACGTAGATAGAAATTAGATTCATATCACGAGAAACTAATATATTATTATTTTTATTCAAAACTAATTTTTATAGCTGAATGCAATGTCACAGTTAACTCCAAATAACTAGTTAGTCACTAACTAAACATTTAAAGTAAAAAATATGTCGAAAATCCAGCTAGTGACAATAACATATCTATCTAAATAATCAATATAGTTTAAAATAGCTAGTCACTAGCACTTGTCTCAGGTTGGTGAGACAATTTTCCACACGGGAAACAGCGCGCTCTGAACTTTTTATAGCGTGATTTTACCGAGACGTATGTATGCTGTCATTCGGATACAAATTCGTGACTTGTTATCCACCAGACGATAAAATTTTACCGTTTAACTTATATATCACTTTAAAGAGATTCCATATCCTCTCTCTCTCTCTCTGACATTTCAATATTTTATATTAAAATGCTTTCGAGTGAATCACCGTAATAAAAAATTCTAGTTAATAATGAAGATGTTGGAATTTATTATCTCACTCACTTGAGTCAAATTTCACCTAAACACATTTCTGCACACATCGTAAATATTTCCTTAGGCTTTTATACTGCAACCTAGCTGCGAACACATCTCATCACGCACGCGCTATTTTATCGTATGTTTCTAGAGACGGCTACCTAGCTATTCTTAGTTTCCGTCGAGCGCATTGTATCAACGTTACACCGGAGTCTGAAGTCCACGGAGCAAGGACGAAAAGGGGGTTGGGAAGGAGAGGGACAACGAGAAGGCGCAGTATAGGAAGACCAGGACAGTTTTATAGAGACGAATTCTCGTCGTAAAGACGTCAGGACCACCTCCGCAGCTCCCGCCTGTCTTCGCGAAAACGTTACGAGTACCGGAGGATTCACAAGTTACCCTGTTACCTTTCCTCCTCGCCGTCGTCTTACCGTCGGAGACAGACGAGTCTTCCCGGTATCCTCCTCGTCTCGAAACGGTTCGTAATTTCGGCTACGCTAAATCTCCGCGTCCGACGACGATCGATTCTCACATATAAGTGTTTTGGTATGCGAATAGAGAGAAAATCGCCTTATCGCTTTTTTTGCACGAATCGGAAAAACCTTGCGCCAACTATCGATACATTCTTATACGCGAAAAATCGTCCGTAAATCTTTGTCCGCACACACATATACGTATGTGTACATATATATATATATATTCCCTTGTCCTTTCTGACATATAACTCCACCCACAACTCGTCGTGCCTACCTCGACGCCACGTAATAGAGAGCGCGGGAGAACTCCCGATGTTGCGTCTGACAAGCTTTTTCTGGTACAATAAAAGTCAGAAAGGGGCAATCTATTACCTTCCCCCTACGGCCTATTCCGAAGAGGAGGCCCCGACTGCATCGCCGTTTCGAGCTGGTCGGCGCTCTTTGATCCGCTGCCTTCGAGTCCTGTGCTACTGGAATTTTCTATCTGCTACTATAAGACCGCTACTTATTGCCGCTTCTCGTCTTTCGTTAATTTTATATATATATATATATATATACACAGTAAACTCTTCATCCCGTCCTTCATCCTATACTCTTTCCTTATTTCGTTCCTTGCACTCTAGCCAAACCTGGCGGAAGAGTGCAAGCAACGTTCGTACGTGATATGTTAAGCTTTTGTTGCCAATGTTGAAGAGAAACAAGCGGCACTACGTGCCTACGTGACGCAGTTGTCTAATGATTTCATTGTACCCTATACGCTGAGATTTCTTTAAATCTTGAAAATCGCAATTACATATTTATCACATTGTTTACTCTATAAGAGAACTGCAGATTAAATACACATTTCTCGATTTTAATTAATTTATAATACCGATAATATTCGAAAATTAAAATAAATGTTAATAATAAATATTCTTACGATTTTATATATATATATATATACGATATCAACTAAAGTTAATATCAACGTTTAAAAACATCTTCAATAAATTATTTAAAATAAATATACGATAATATCTAAAATATATAAATGTATGTCTCGCGTCAAGTGTTACGCGTTAGCATAAATGTCGATACCTTTCGAATGAAATAGAATGATAAAATAACGGAGCTGTCCAACATTATTTTAATATCGTACGCTTCTCGCCCTAGATAAAATTTTCCGCTATTTGTTTCAACTGCGTCTACAGCGCGCTGAAACGGAAAGAGAGCCCCACCGCGCCAAACCTAAAAGAATTCGACGCGCTCGGTAAAACGAGGCCGTAGATCTCGCGGCGCCGTTAGATGTGACACGTTTCCCCTCCCGCTCAACCCTTTCTTCTTCGCTCGACTTGGCCGCTGCCGACTTGGCGGCTTCGATACCCGTCCGTCACGAGCCGTCATTAAGCTCCGGCCAGATTCCTATCTGAACGGACAGCTGAGCCCCGATCTGGATGTCGGAAAGAGCATCGGCTTCTGCGAGCCACGAGCATTAAAGCTGCCGACGGCAAGAGCCAGGGTCAAGGCTTCGACAACCTCTCAACCGTCCGTCAGTTACCTATCGATCAACAGGCCTCGACGCTCGTAACATCGAACTAGCTTGACGATTACAGAAAAGAGCAATAAACGCACGTTACAGTCTCTCGCAAGATTCAATAATACAATAATTAATACACTTATACTTTTACTATTTTATTATTCATTTTATTTTTATACTATATTCTTGCATTAATCATTTCAATTATCATTAGGTAATATTTATTTTGCTCTTTGTATAATTGAATCAGGAAATATATTCAAATTTGCTCAATCTTTAATTATTTATATGTATTTTAAAATAATTCAAATAAAATTTGATTTAAGTGCAGAAGCTGCGTGTTTGTTTTATATCAATTTTGTTTACTTTGTAATTACTTATCGATATCAAATGATAATAATTAAACATTAAAAATTGAAACGAAAATAATGTATAAAAATTGGAAAAATATATACACGCATAATATATTTATGAGAAAAAAACTTGATCGCGATATAACTACACGTATGATTGATGACTTTTTTAAAAATCCGCAAAATTTTATCGCACGATCGATCGTTTCTCGCGTCAGATATTTAAGTACTGCTTTCCTGAAAGGAGCGATAAAAAAAACCGCCATCACCAAAAGATAAGAATAACCATACGGAGTTTTGAGGAAATGCTCATTGTGCAATTCCAGTGCTCTCCGACCGAGGAGATAAACGTGAGTCCATTTTGACGTGTCAGCTAATCTCGTCGTGACATATCACGGTGGCTCGATCGATCACCAGGCCATTACATTGTCTGATCCGCCGCCGCCGCCACTGCGATAAATTATTACTACCGATAAATCGGTAAAGAGTAAACGCCACCGCGGCGGATAGTAACAGGTCCAGACGCGAGTGACTCGCGCAGATAACTCGCAACACGTTGCTCTCTCGACAAAGTGTCAGGACTAATGCCAGTTTCCCTTACTGATTCAGCAGTCGGTTCGCCACACTAATTTGCACTCCAAACCTTCCTCTCTCTCTCTCTCTCGCTCTCGCAGGTTATCTTCCTATTCTGGGAATTAGCTATTGACGCGCTAATGCAATACTTCGTAGATGAAGATTAAAACATTCAATTGAAAAATACTCGCGACTTCATTTTAAAATAGCACCATCACTTTTACGAAACGCGATAAAATAATTTTTAACCACGCGATTTTACTGGAATTTCTTTTCTTTTATTCGTAATTCGTATATATAATTGTAGTCAATAAAAAAATATTGTTCAGCAGAGACCTTTCTTAAGTCGATCTCTGTGAGCCGATTGAATTATTTGATAGTAAACGCAAGACAACACGCGCGTCGAGATAAGACTAAAAACAAAGTTTTCGAAGCCGGTTATACGATCGGTACGGTAGTCTGAAACGACCTGCTAATGACAAGGCGTTAATTTAGCCGTGCGAGGAGGAAATATCTGCGGCACAGTCATGGCCGTCTCGTCGGTCGTTGTCGAGCATTATGGAAGCCTATGCATCAGAATGATGAACGATGTCCTGCGACCGCTCTGCGTGGTAAAATGAGCCGCAGTAAATGAAAAGAGGCTGGCAAGGGTACAGAAACACGAAGGGATTTCGTAGGCATCTGCACGAGATCAGATCGATCTTTTACGGCAGTGAAGAAAATTCTCATTTTCCTATACTACTCAGATTATACCTACTCTGCGTACCTATTCTCGTCTTTGTTCCAAATGCTTCGATAATGCTCTCCCAAAATATAAATGTTTTATACAATAGAAAATTAAAAATATATACACTAAAAAAATTATTTAAATTAATAAATATTTATCCCAATACTGCTTAATAAATCATTTATTTGGAACAAATAAATATTTATCTGTTTTGAAAAGGATTTTCGAATATCAAATAAATATTTTTCACATCAAATCGATATTATTAGTTTCACATAAATGATTTATTAGGTAGTGTTGAAATATTTATTCGAATTTAATAATTTTTTTTCAGTGTACATCAATCTAAAACAATATCAATGATAAAGTATATTTATTAAATCGCAATCATGAATTATAAATTTATTTATTAAGCTGTTAAGTTGATTTATGTACTTGTATCGCGATAGTGCTTCTTCGATTATCAACGATAATGTGTAACATTTTTATATACACAATATATAAAAGTTTGTTTTTTTATATTTAATTATCCATTAATCTTATCTATTTAAAAGATAAGAAGAATTACAGAGCAAAGTTTGTAGTATTTCATTATACAATGATATGATTAGTTTTTATTGTCATTTTTATTGATTTTTTATAGATATAAATAATCTATATGTCAGATTTGACATGTTATCAGATATAGTCAAATATCAGTAGTAAATACAAGCTATAATAAAAAAAACATTCATATTTGATTTTTAATTAGATGAA